GGAGACGTCGAGGACGCCTAGGATCACCAGGTGTGAGCACATCTCGACAATCACGACGACCGTCAGGTCCAAGACGAGCGCCATTCTCATCAAAATGTAGCAGATGTGATGGGTTGACAGTCTTTTCTGTCTGTACGGCCGTTGATGACGTATAATGTGTCTGTGATGCGTTGATCAGGGTTAGATGCGTTGATTAGGGTTAGAGTTATGCATTAGTACGTCATCCACCGCCGTACTAAGGTCACATGTACTTACCGTGTCAGTGAAGCTTGATTGTTGAGTGGCGTTCCATTGACCCTCTCGTGATACGGAACATATGGCCGTACCAGGCAAAGGAGATGGTTCAGGCAACGCATCATTAGGATCCCTGATGGGCGGTACGTCGCCATGCACCGTACGGATGCCTAATCTTGCGTTAGCCAAAGGGAAAAGAGATACGACATTGACTGCCGTACTGCGCTGCCCAGGCGGCGGTGCTTGATCTTCGCTTTGTATGTTGCCAGTGGCCGTCCCAGAGCTTCCATCGCCTACATTCATGTCCAGTCTGACTCGGACGTTGCCGTTGTGGCCTGAGCGAGTGAACGGGCCTCTGAAAGGCCCATTCACAGATGCTGTCAACGGCGCTGTCAATGGGGTGAGAGACTGCTGATGTACGTTGTCATCGTCTTCTGTCGGCAACCCTATGATGCGTTGAACTTGTCGCACCTCATCTGCTTCCCAAGACAACAGAAACCTTCCAGTCCTGGCCGTCCGAGGTGTCCTCTCTTGCGTACGTTGTCGAGGTTCAAGGAGCGTTGGGAGTTCTGGGCCAAAGATGACTCCTGCGCCGTCGTTCCACCAATGGGTGTGGAAGTCTTCCATTGCGAGTGCTCTCCCTTCCCTTTGGATGAATGCGCATCAATGTGCGCAAGGCAGACCCCAGCTTCCGCAATGAGCACAGTTGCAGACCTCGCGAGGCGACGGAGACCCATTGAATGCCTTGATCCACTCCATCCATGTCGTTTCTACGGCATAGCAACCAATGTGTCTCCGGATGCGTGCAAAAGCCGTATTATTGCGTACCTCTTGCATTTGGTCCTGCAGATCGATGTTGATCTTGCCCTTGATCTCATCTTGCTGCATCTTAAGGCACTTCAGCATCTGCT